TTTCTCGACTCACATGCCTCGGGCACGTTTGGCCCTGTGTCTTTATTGTAGCAGATTTATCTTGATACAAGTTGAGTTTCTTGACTCACGCGCCTTGAGCACCTTTGGCCCCGCTTCTCCACTATAGTGTATTTATTTTGGCGTGAGTCGAGTTTCCTAACTCACATGCCTTAGTCATGTTTGGCCTTGCATCTCTGCCATAGCGAATTTATTTTGGCGAGGTTTGGGTTTCTCAACTCACATGTCTCCAACTCGTTTGGTCCTGCACTTTTGTTTTAGCAAATTTATCTTGGTACGGGTCAGGTTTCTTGACTCACACGCCTTGGGCACATTTGGCCCTGTGCCTCCACCGTAGCTGATTTATCTTAATGCGGGTCATATTTCTTGACTCATATGCCTCGGGACCATTTGGCTCTTCACTTCCACCATAGCAGATATCTCTTAGCATGGGTTGGGTTTCCTGACTCAGACGCTTTAGGTGTGTTTGGCCCTACGACTCCATCGTAGTAGATTTATTTTAACGCAAGTCAGGTTTCTTGACTCACACGTCTCAAGCACGTTTGACCTGGCATCTCTGCCATAGCGAATTTATCTTAGCACAGGTCGGGTTTCTCGACTCACATAGCTTAAGCGCGTTTGGCCGTATGCCTTCGTCGAAGCAGATTTATTTTGGCACGGGTTGGTTTTCCTGACTCACACGCTTCGTGCGTGTTTAGTCGTGCAGCTCTGCCATAGTGGATTTATCTTAGCATGAGTCGAGTTTCCTAATTCACATGCCATGCCTTAGGCATGTTTGGCCCCATGCTTGCATTATAGCAAATTTATCTTGGCGTAGGTCAGGTTTCCCGACTAACAAACCTTAGGCATGTTTAGCTCCATGACTCTACCATAGCATATTTATCTTAGTGCGAGTTAGGTTCCTCAACTTATACGCCTTGGGCGCGTTTGGCCTTGTGTCTCTACCGTAGCTGATTTGTCTTGATGTCGATCGGGTTTCTCAACTCACATGCCTCGAACGCATTTGGTCATACACCTCCATCATAGCAATTTTATCCTAGCATAATTCTAGTTTCCCAATTCACACTCCTCGAGCACGTTTGAACCCACGTCTCCACCATAGTGGATTTATTATGGCGCGGGTCGAGTTTCCCAACTCACATGCCTTGGGCATGTTTGGCCCTCTTTATTATAACTGATTTATCTTAGTGTAGGTCATGTTTCTCGACTTACAAGCTTCGAGCACGTTTAGCCCTATGTCTCCACCGTAGTATATTTATCTTGGTGCGGGTCAAGTTTCCTGACTCACATGACTCGAGCACCTTTGGCCCCGCTCCTCTACTATAGCATATTTATCTTGGCATGGGTCAAGTTTCCTAACTCACATGCCTCGATCATGTTTGGCCCCGAGTCTCCACCATAGCGAGTTTATCTTAGCATGGGTCAAGTTTCTCGACTCACATTCCTCGCACATGTTTGGCCTTGCGCCTCCGTCGTAGCAAATTTATCTGTATGCGGGTCGAGATTTTTGACTCACATGCCTCAAGCATGTTTGGCCCTTTGCCTCCACCGTAACAAATTTATTTTAGCAGCAGGCCAAGTTTCCTGACTCATACACCTCGAGTACATTTGGCCTTGTATCTCTGCTGTAGTAGATTTATCTTAGCGTGGGTCAGTTTTCATGACTCACATGCCTCTAGCACTTTTAGCCTCGTGCTCTGTCATAACGGATTTATCTTTCTTTTAGATTTTTTAACTAATACAACATTGGCAAGCCATTAGAGTTACTGTACTTCGACAAGAAACTCTACTCATGCCCATTTTGTTACTAATCGCTTGCTGACACTCGAGGCCCAATTTGCAAGGGTTTTACTTTATAGGTCGGACTTTGGGAGAGATGTTCAAGTGATATTGGGCTATATCGAGGTCTATTCCTAGTATATCCCTTGGTGACCAAGCTAACACCTTGGCATTTTCTTTGAGGAAATTGACAAGTTGCACTTACTTCTCCTCCGGGAGTGTCGCCTTGACTTTAACGACCTGATTAAGACGGGCCTTGTCCATAGGTTCCTCGATCATCAACTCCACTGGCTTTGGATGTGGGAGGGGCTTGGTGAAATCTTAAGGGTCCAACAATGGTGCCTCGGGCCAAGCCTTCTTCAGCAAGGAGACAACCATCAGATAGCACTAGCGGGACTCCTTCGGATCACTCCTCAACTCCTTAACATCGATTCTTATTAGGAACTTCATCATCATATGATAGGTTGATACCACAGCCCTCAACCTGTTGAGTATGAGTCGGCCTATGATTGTATTGTACGTTGAGGGGATGTCGACCACCATAAATTTGGTCATTATCGTCTTAGAGCAGGGTTTATCGTCGAACATAACATGTAGGCTCATGGTCATGAGGGAGTAGATGAGTCACCTATGAACCCCATCAATGGAGTCATGGGAATAAGATCATTAGCAGAGAGCCCCAATCTTTGAAAAGTATCAAGTAAAGTATATCGGTGGAGCTACCTGTGATGATTATGACTCTCTTCCCTCGGGTGTTAGTCATCTTTACTGAAACCACTAGGATGCCATCATGGTTTGGGTCAAGGTACTCCGTCTCTTCTTCCATGAAGATTATTTCCTTCCTCGAATGCTTTATGATGGTGGCTCGGGCATATGTTTTGCGGCTCGAGGTGTTGTTACCTCTTAAGGCAGGTCCATCGACGATGACATCGATCTATCTTTCTACTCAGCCCTGTGGTCAAGGAGAGGGTTCCCAAGACATCCAGATGAATCTCTTGAGGTGCCCCCAACAAATAAGCTTTTCGATTTATTCCATCAAATCATGATAGTCTTCTGTGTCATGGTCATAGTCACGGTGGAAGTGAAAATATTTGGATTTGTCCCTCCTTTCCAATGGTATCCTTATTGGTTAAGGATCATTTAAGAACCTTTTTCCTTTATTTGTAAGAAGACTTATATTCTCTTCATATCAAGGGGGATTAGCATGGGTCTCCGATGATGTGGCTCAGGTCATTCTTGCTTTTCTCGTCGAGGTGGTCTTGGGGTCGGAGTCAATAGTGGTTGCTCTTATCGCAGTCTTTTGTACGTCTCCTCATGCCTCCTGCATATCTCGGAGCTCGTTGGTGAACCAAGCAACGAAGTTAGGGAGTGTCTTTTCCTCCCCTTGCTTGAGCCGAAGTAGCATCGTTGTCGATGACCTTGGGCGCATATTACTAAGGAAGTAAAGTTCAAACTCCTTTACAAGTTGAGTGAATGAGCCAACTTAGAGTGGCTTTAGATAAGTGTACCACTCCCATACCGAGCCCCTCAACATCATCGAGAATGCATGGCACATCAAAGCGTCTGAAGTGTTGTTGAGAGACATTTGGGCACGAAAGGCAGTAGTGTGATCAATTGGGTTGGCACTGCCATCAAAGACTTCCAATAATGGAAGGCAGAAGTTAGTCAGAATCAATTCTTCTCGAATGCTCTAGGTGAATGGGGAGCAACCCCAGGTGGGAATGATTGGGTTCTCCCCCTTGAACTATTGGAACTCCCATCGTATCTCATCTAGGCATTGGTCTATTTCGCATAGTTCGATCCTTAGGGAGTCATCCATTGAATCCGTCAATTAAGTCTTGGACTCGGGCAGGGGAAGGCAGTGGTGCGATAATGCACTGACCTCCACCGTTGGGGAGTGGGGTGCTCCTTTGGCTGAGGCCCCAAAAGGCTCAGGGGATCCTAGAAAGCTAGAACCATATCGGTTGGGAGGATTCTGATAGGTGTCGATGGCAATGGTGGTTGAGGTGTCGATTATAGCTAAGATAGTGGTGTTGCTTGTTAAGTTAGCGGCAAGAGTGGGGTAATAGCCTGACCGAATCACTATAAAAATCTGGTTTGCCTTTTCTTTTGTGTAATTTATCTTACTGCAAACCTCCTTACTTGCTTACTGCTTTTAATATGTTTACGAATACGTTTTCAAGTTAACATCTTCCAAAATCGATTTTATCGTACGAAACGAAATTTTTAGAACCGACGTTTTTACCGCTGCACTAATTCAACCCCCCCCTCTTAGTGCCGACTCGTTCCTAACACATACCTGCGATTGATAAGTGAGGTTTATGAACACCTCGATGAGGACGAGCAAGTTGTTTGAATTTATTCTCAAGGGCGAGAGGCCTAAGTCATTGAATAGAAGTTAGTACCACATCAACGTTTACATTGAAGTGGTCAATGTGCGGGAAGGACAAAGATTGTCCCTCTTAAGTAAAAGTACTGTGGGTCAGAGGCATGGCTTCCTTGTTGGAGTGTTCATTAAGAGGATTGATGGATTGACATTTATATGACATCAAAGCCTTCTCTCTAGTGCCAAAATGTTAGGGGAATTCATCTCTGATGTCGGAGTTGACCCGACATGGTCTAAATCTAAGGGCGTAAGAGCATTCGACGTGACCTCGATGGCAATCTTGTATGGTTCCGAAGTGGTTTTTAAGTGGTTTTGAGGTAGTTCCCGAGTAGTTCATGAGTGACTCCAAGGTGGCACTAGCACTAAGACTAATATCGGGAAAATTTTCTGACCTAATCCCTTAGACGCTTAAGTTAGTCGGAGGTCTTTTTTAGGGTTTAGGCTTCTTTACGAAAAAAAAGTATCCTCCAGTATAATGCTGAGAATTAACTTTTATACGTGGCCTGGAGGAGACAGGCCTATAACTACCTCAACTTTCTCTTTTGATGTTTTGTCCACGTGCATCTCTCTTGAGACTATTGTTCACAGCTGCAAACAGGTGATGAGGACCCGTTGGTAATAGTAGATAAGATAACAAGTCGCAACAAAACCACTTTCTGTTTGTGGCTGCGATTACAATGATACCAAAGCAAGAAGAGACTTCGTCTCGGCTTATTAAACTCGAGCATCATGAGAAAAGCACACAAGCACTTGGTACATAAAGACATGTATTAAAGCCTATGATGACACATGTTTCCTAAAGGCAGAGGACATTAGAATCAAGAAAAACATCATGCTTTCATTTCCATGTACTCGTATTTTAACTCTGATCACTTGAAGCAATCTGTAGACAGTGTTCAGATCAATCAAGTTTTACATAGATGAGACCTCAAGCGACTACTCTTCCATCACACCCATATAAAGATGAACACCCTCTCTCTCATTTCGACTGACATGGCAACATATGGAAGCTAACTGAGCGTGTAAACTCGACATACATGATGTGAAGAGAAAATGACTTCTAAATCCATAATACCTTGTTAAACAGCAAGTCACATCTTTTGGTACGGTATTTGTTGTGACTCCGAAGAAACAAGAGCTGATTGCTTAGGATGAGGAAAACATCAAGCCTTAACATAATTTATTGAAGGCCTGATTCTTATCCTGACCACTGTTTTCTTTATCAGGAATTATTTATCAAGAACTTTGGAAGTCTGGCAATCAATGGTTCCTTTAATTTTTCAAGTCCAACAACAGCTGCTTTTTTTAGATCGTCAACTTCCTCCTCACATTGTTCATATACAATGAAGACAGTAAACAGAGATGCCAATCCTGCAATGGATGGGAAGACAAACATTAGCATGAAAGAAAATTTACTGTACCAAGATTATAGTGGAAGTGTTGAGTTGGTTCTTTACCAAGGCCAACCAATACTGAGATAGGAATATGCAGCAACAACTTGACTAAATAGAGACAACCTGCTGCCTGCATCAATTAAGTAGTTATTAAGTCACAAGATCTGCATCAAGTGAAATTTACTCCAAAAACTCATTCTCAACTGTTTGTTTAACAAGAAATTACCAACTGATACAATAGAAAATACAAGTGTGAGTTAACTAGAATGATGATCAATTAAGTTGCTGTGATGGTGCACAGAGTTAAGTAGCTAACAAATTGGTGTTTACAGACATCCAGATAGCCACAGGTTTTTGTACAGCATCATGGAGGCGGGTTAAAAAAGTTCAACATTTTTTATGGGTTGCACATGTGAGTCAAGAAATTTCAAGTGTTATTTATCACTGTTCCAAAAAATATGGTCATTGGAGTCATAATGTATGATTGCAAATCATCATGATCAGCATTTTCCTCCTATATATTTGGATTATGTGGTTGAAAAGCAGATGAAAATAGGCAGATGAAGCAGGTGCCAGCAACAGAGCAAACTAAGAAGATAGATCAGAATGGTAGGTGACTGGAGGCGATTTGGCCCCGGTCAAAATGGGGTTCGTTATTTTTTTATTTTTTTTATCCCTCCTATATATTTGGATTATGTTGTTGCAGAAGAGCAGATGAAAATAGACAGATGAAGCAGGTGTCAGCAACAGAGCAAACAAAGAAGATTTAGATCAGAGTGGTAGGTGACTGGAGGCGATTTTGCCCCAGTCAAAATGGGGTTCTTTATTTTTTTTTTTATTGGATAGCTGAGAACAATTGTTGACAACTGTTTACAGATGTCAAAAACAGGTCTTTAGATGGTAAAAAAAAATTAAGAAAAAGGTTCTCAGGGAAGCTGCTTTTGACATGGCGCAACCACAGCAATGTCGGTCCATCTTATCCACTTCCTCCTCTCCTCCCCTCTTCTCTCCCCCTCTTTCTCACGTCCTGCATATGGGGATGTGTACCAGCATGGCCAGGGAGTGGTATGAGTCTTCAACCAGCACTTGAAAAATGGTCAGACTTAAAGAACATCAAGAATAGAGTATGCTCAATATGTTTGGCAACACAGGCACCAAGGTTGTAGGTTGCATCTGTAGAAATGAAGCTCATATGCACATATGTAGATCTGAGAAACCAAAATGCTACTGATAAAAATTGAAACATTTTAAAGGTTAGTTTCATGAACTCAAACAGGTCACAAGCTGGAAGAACAAGGAGATTGATTTAATTTGGATGTTTGAGAACTTCAAATTGCATGGCTACCATGCATATTTGGAATCATGCTACACCTAGGACAGTTGATCTTATAGTGCCCTTGAAGAGCTGTGTTTTTGTAAAATATATCTATACTTGTGTAAAACCAATATATATTTACGTACAATCTTGCATGTGAAAGTGGCTCATTCCAGGAACATGTCAAAGGATCTCAGTAATGTGTCTAACCTTGAAGAAGATACTCCAGTCATCACCTTGGGCTAGTAACTTCATTGTTGAAATGCCTTCGTTCCATAAAGATGCCAGAGCAAAAAAAGCATCTCTCATGGTTGATTCTGAGATTTCAAAGCAAGAGGGAGGTATCTTCTCGATATTTGAACCAAACCTGTAAGAAATGATCTTGAATGAGGATGTGAATGTCAACGAACGAAAAAGAGAAAATGGTAAACCTCAATCTTACTTGAGTTTGCAATCCAACACCAACAAAGTTTACAGTTATGAAATAAGTGTTACTCTTTTGAACACAAGTAATCATGCTTTTGAATACATTATTTACTAGTACTTGGCAGTAAAGTAGAAGTAATATTGCTCATGTTCAAAGTTAAACACAACACTCTGATACTTGGTACACTAAGTTTACCATCACAAAATTATATACCTCATATTTAGTTAAAAAATGAAATGTAATATTAAATAACTGTAGTGCTCAGTGTCATGCAATACAATACGATACTTACATTTTTGTAGGTAGAATTCCTTGGATAAAAAGCGAGAGACAAATCACCATCAGGATTTTAGCACCAGATGTAACAAAAGTTCTTCCAGAAAGGAAGAACCAATAGAAGAGCACAAATGATGAAAGTACCAAAGCAAAAGTTTTCTTTTCATCTCTCCACAGAAGTATGTCAGCAACTGCATAAAATATGAGTTCCAAATTTCAATATTGAAAGTATATAAGCAGAAATAAATCAAAAGAAGCAGCAATGCAACTAAAAGAGGGTGATAAATCATTACACAAAGCATAAGAGAAATGGATTACTGTTAGATCCAAGTAAGCATACATGACTGTATGCTCCTATCTTGGCCTAAACTATACGAGGCAAATTTAAAATGAAAAAGTTAGATGAAGTTGCTGAAACAACCTACTCCACTGCCTAACATTCTATCCGCCTTTGATGTGATGGTCCAATCTCGCTCTAGTGCATGGCCTGAGCCTTTTGCCAATTGTGAGAATGATTCCACAGTTAACTCAATGCCTTCCTGTCACCATTCAGAATAAGAACTGCAGTCACACAAGATGAGTGGAACGAGGTTTCATGCAATATATAATAGACAAAGGTAAGACATAATTACTCTTTGCATATTTTTGAAATCCAGGTTTCCATTTGATGTTTTGATAGTTCATTATTACTATTACTAGTATCATAAGTTCCCTGTGGTTACACTTCGAGCAAATTCCAGTAAACTTGTCTGCACACTGTCCTAAGCTCCAAAACCTTTCTTGCATAACGAGTAATGATATCAACAACAATGATGTAGAAACAGCAAATGGGATGTTATGTCAGGATTGTCAAGCTTGTTAAATGACCATGATAGCTTCTACAGCTAACAGCAAAAACTTAGGACATTAGTTCCATTTTGAGCTCTAAATGTAATTACTACTAGGAAATGGAGGTAAAAACATATTTAGTAATGTTTACTTTGTTTTGACTCTTTCAAAGAATATGAAAGATTTCGAACAGAGCTTTTACTTCTAAAATTTTGAAAGATAGAAGGAAAATGAAAATGTGACCCATCTTTCAGCACCTGTATAGTTTCAGTGCTGTTACCCAGCCAAGAAATTCCTTCCTTCCTCTGAGCACCTAATTTGCATTTTATTTTAAAAAGTCTGATTCCAGAAATAAGAATTAAACATATTTACATAAATTCTTCCAGAATTTCTTCGTTTTTCTCTTTATTTACAGCAATTCTTATAGCAGGAGGGTTAGTTTCACTGATAGCTAATTTCTATGTACATCAGTGAACTATGCCAATGGAAATAAATCACAACATCAATGTTTAAGATAGCAACAATATAGGCAATTACCTGAAATGACACAATTGGTGAGTAACCAAGTAGTGTCTTAGCTTTAGAACAATCAAAAGTCCTTGAGCATGAGAGGGAATAAACAGTGGAAGGTGAAAAAACTGAATTGGACAATCTACAAACTTTCAACTTGTCACCGGCCAGCTTCGCAAGCAAGATAACTATCATAGCAAGGTTGATAGGAAGATGTATACTAGGCCTGAAATTTTTCATACATCATCAACTCCTTGAAAGAGTATGAAATTCAACTTAAGAAATTAAAATTAAAAGAATTATTTGAGCAGAAAATAGAAATATCTAGATCAAGTGGAAGCTTTACAAATTACCTTTGAAAAGATTCCATAATTAAAAAATGAAAACATTCCATATTTGACAGGATATGAAGAGAATGCAAAATTCTACAAGATGGATTCATAGGAACCTTCAAAACCAAAAGCTTTGCTTGTCTCACTTGGTATTCACAATATTCTATCAAATAATTTGTGTTCAACAAAATGTTATATTTCGAATTCAGAAATATATTAGACAACTGACGTGACCCAAAAGAGTGGACATGAGATCTGGATAAGTCTGCTATACCAGTTAAACAATATGAGTTGTTTGAAATTTAGGCAGCATATAAAGTATCAATATCAAGTATCAATGAAATAACCAAGGAGATTGAGATACAAAGGAAACTTGTATAATAAAAAAATAATATATAAGAAAAGAACAAAAAACAAAAACAAAAATCCTCTGCAGGATCAAGTATTGTCTCTTGAAAATTACTTCTTGACTAATGTATAATGGCACATTGACCATAAACATTAAGAAAAATCTAAATCTAAACCATTAATTTAATTGCAAACTCATAGTGTCCTACCAACATGTGATTGAACATATATAATAACCCTAATGATATTATAATCTTCTTAAACATCCAAGCCATGATAACCTGGTTGAATGAGTCCATTTTGTGCCACCGGTGTGTTCAATGTACCTTACTAAAGGCCACAAATCATATAATGAAAGTCGTGGCAGAGAAGAAGTCCCAAAGCATAGGATGATCATTTGAAAAGAAGCTGAACCCAGTGCATATGGCTCCCAGCGGGGTCTAGAGAAGTCAATGTAAGCAAAGTAGTTGTTTCCCTAACCAGAACCATGGTGACATAGGTCGCAATGAAGCAACCTTAACATCATCCCAAGCTTTATCCTCAAAGAACTTGGTTGTCAGAATCTAAATATTATATCAAAATTGCATATTAATTCTCACTAGAAGTAGGATTAAAAGGTTGTATAAGTTTGTCAGAATCTTTGCTGATGACACACATCAATTTATGCTTGAGGTAAATGTGGAGTTGGAAATGAAGTCAACAAGGGAACAAATGAATGACTTGTTTTCATTTTTTTTATTCACCTCTAAGGTAGATCGCTTTGTATCTACAGATTGTGTTGGTTTTGGATGTGGATCATTAATGATCAACAGATGGAGAGAGCTGAGGTCAGTGAATGACAGTGAAGAGAGAAGAATGTGTACATAGACAAAAGAAAGATAATGAAACAATGTTAAGAGGAAGCAAGGTTTTAAATTTCAATTTGATACCAATTTCGGTAACTAGTCTGATCAGAATAATGATGATATATCAGGTGATATACTGGCTTGTACTGATACAAAAAAGATAAAGAAATGAAATACTGATTGTAGAGATCCATATAGGACCTTGTTCGAATGGATATATACCAACTGGTTCATCCCATCGGACCAGTATTCGGATACTTGAGAGGAAGTATCTCTTCTCTTTCTTTGTACTGTAACCTCCCTTTCCTCTAACCTGAAAGAGATTTTTTGCTTGTGTGTTGCTGCAACATATGATGCTAGTTAAAGCATCATGTTTATCCAAAAATACAACAATGGACAAATGTATATGCACCTATTGTTTCCTGTTACTAGAAGTGATATATCATATTAATGTACTTACCATTTGATGAGGCAGTATTAATATGCATTTAAATTTTTTCTACCACAACTTACATTACATATAAGTCTCATTTAGATCATTATTATGCACCAATTGTAATTTATTGAAACTTCAAACAAGATTTTCTTGAGTAAATTATTCATCAAAACCAAGAGTTGACAAGGTCTAAGGGTGCATTTAGGAACACATTTGAAATGTGCATTGGGCCCTCAATGCACATCACAAATGTGAATCGGTGTTAAGTAATTTTTTTCAAATCGTATCTAACCTAGATGCTTCATTGGAAATGTTCAAATATTGATGCTACCTCAGAGTAGCATTAGCATTTCAGCATTTGGAGAATGTTAATGTAATTTTTCAGGTTTCCAAAGTATCTATCCTATGACATTATCTAAAATTACAAGATTGTCAAAATGATTTAGTGAGAACCAACATGATTTATATTTTCTATAAGGTGAAATTTCATTTATTTATTTTCAAAGGTTATTTTATATTTATTTATATGATTATATTTATTTGGTATATATTTAAAACAATTATAATATTACATAGATTCATTTTATTTATTTACTTTTTAATTTAAATGAAATATATTATTCACTTTTGAATAAATTTTAAAAATATTAGAAGAGTATATTTGTTATAAAATATGTAATGGACTTTTCAAATACAATTTTACTAAACAACTTTTACCCAATGCACATTTAAAATATAGTTTTTATCTATTGTTTACCAAGTATTCAAAGCATTCCACAACTGCACATTCACTTAAATCCTTTTTTCCAGTTACATATTAAAAATGCAATTGTATTCCCAGATGCAACCTAAAGACCTAGATAAAAAAGAATCATAAATGTTTATTTTTTCACCCTTTCTTTTGCAATTGGGAAAGAAGTCCTCAATCATTTCAAAATATTGGAACACTTTTAAGTAGCCAATAAAAGCAGTTCTAAATGAAGAGCATCAACGACCCATTAAAACTTTATATTGGTAAGTCTATACTCATTAAAGTGAAAAATATAAGGCAATAAATCAGCAATTATTTTCAATGTATAAACAAGAAGGATGATGATCACATATAGTTTAAAAGCTTCATCTTTAACATGGATTCACAACCCTAGATGTTTATCTTTTCACCCTTTCTTTTGCAATTGGGAAAGAAGACCTCAATCATTTCAAAATATTGGAACACTTTAAGTAGCCAATAAAAGCAGTTCTAAATGAAGAGCATCAACGACCCATTAAAACTTTATATTGGTAAGTCTATACTCATTAAAGTGAAAATTATAAGGCAATAAATCAGCAATTAATTTCAATATATAAACAAGAAGGATGATGATCACATATAGTTTAAAAGCTTCATCTTTAACATGGATTCACAATCCTAGAAACTGTAAAGCCATGAGAAAAACAATCAACTACGGCAGAGAACTAGTTAATATTCAAACATTAAAAACAATGAGAATGATGAGAAAAATTCACAGAATCTCTATCAATAGTTTGAACGATGAACTATCATATAGAAGACAACAAAGAACTATTGTGATTTGTTAGTAATATGATAAGGGAACAAGGGGCCAAACATGCATATTTGAGACTTTGAGTGAATCTATGCACAATCATGCTTAACCAAAACCATTTAAAAATTATGCACTTCACTGTCTAAAGAAATGCAATAAACACAAGTAAAATTTACAACTATCCTCTAAAGTTACCTTCGATATCCCAAATTCTCTAATATGTTTGAAATGAACTCCCAAAGCTTCACTGGTTTGTCATTTGTAATAAAAAATGGCTGCAATAAAGTAGTGACAAAAAATAGTATGTCAGCTTTAGGAGCAATTATGTAAGAAAACAGCATGTGACAAATACCATGCTACAGTATGAGAATAATACCTTTCCAGCAACAGAAGCTGGAGCCACACTAAGAGCATGTTCTGCAGAAACATTGGCATGCACCACATTTTCCACATAAACTAAATCACACATGTTTTTACCACTTCCAATGACAAACTGCAACAGAAAATAGTTGATTACTGAGTTGCAACTGTATTCATAATATTTTCTGCTATATGAAACTAAAAAAAATAGATTTATTGGCCTGGTCGAAGTTTCAAATGTAACAGAAATAGGAATCTTGAAGAATATTGTCAATTGAAATTAAAAATAGGACCAAACTAAAAAGCTCTAACCTTACTTACAACCGAGGTCTGCTGTACCGAAGCGTACCGCCCATACCGGGCGGTACGTACTGGTCCGATAAGTTATCAGTACGCGGACCACCCGGTACCGCTACAGTGCTACAGTACTATACTGTAGTACTGCTACAGTATAAAAATAAAAAATATTCGGTACGCCCTGATGTACCGCCCGGTACACCGGTACCGTACCGTACCGAGCTCGGGTCGAAACGCCGGTATGATACGGTACAGCGAACCTTGCTTACAACATTTTCCAAAACCTTTTCTTAAAGACAACAAAGCATTTATATGTCTCCTGACCATCTTTATCATATGTATATCTTTGTGATCCGCCTCTAAATAGACCTCTTTGGACACTTTGTTTGCTTGACTATGTCAATTAATCATTTTCAATAGATTTATCAGATATTTGAACTCAGGAAATATGGACTTTTTTATAAACAATGGAAGTTCCTGTTCTCCTCAAATATTCACCTATTTATGACTGCCATTCACAGCCCTATCACAAGTCAACCTCATAGTTTATTATCTATAATAGTGTTTCTGCCACTTGCTTACCATTCAAAGAATAGATCGTGTTACCAAACTTACAGCAACAAGTATCCTAAGATTAGACGGTAGGTTGACGCAAAGTGCCACTAACAAGCACATCCACCCAAGATCAGTGAATGCAGTTCAGCAAATCACATCTCTGCCATATGGAAAGGTTGAATGAATTATATATAGCACATGTATGATCAAGAAATATATGTTAAATATTGCTTGTCATAATCACCATATTATTGCAACTTTTAAAAGAAAATATGCCAGGTTTTAAAAGGCAAAATCCTGATCAATTTGTTTCAGCCCATCTCACGCATCAAATTCAACTGCATCTGTCTGCCAAACAGCTAGCAACCATCATGATTAGATGTCAAAATGCTATTCAAATTTACTATTAGAGATGTGATCAAAGGCTGCAATGGTACTGGTGATCAAGCGATGCACTGAGACCATAAAACTGAACCTGTTACATGACCACCTTGTATTGAGCGATATGGGGTCTGCACTGGTCGGTAATGGTCGAAATCTGACTGTTACTGACCTATATCGGTCGATAACGGTCGGATTTCAACCATTACATATCAAGGGCTCTAACAACCCTATTTCAAATAATCAATTTGATCATTTAAACTATAGGTAAGGGTTTTTAAACCCTTTCCTCCGCTACAATCATCCACCCAACGTGCAAAGGCAAAGACAAAGAGGAAAACAGTAACATCAGCAGCACCGTTGGAAAGAATCAAGTCAGGCGACGAGACATCTTATCGATCACATTTAACAACCTGCTCGATCCAGAGAAATGACAACGATGTGAACAGCAGTGCCTCGACCGATGATGGCGATGATATCGGGGAGTCAATGGTCTCATCTACATAATTTGAGGGTGGTGCATGGACCAAAGAGTAGTATTTTACACATTCCACCTAAGATTCAGATCATGGAGCTAAATGAGGTATTGGTCAAGTTTATACATAAAAAGGGAAGGGGAAAGTAGTAGATGATTTTGAGCAGATGTGACAAAGCTTACACGA